AGGGAAAAATAAAAACATATGAGAAATGAGTACCACAACAGGACAACCAGCCCTTGGGATGCTGTCTGTACGTAAACCGCCAAATGGGTTCAATCCAGCATATTCAACAAGAATGCAGGCATCAACACCAATTGCCTCATAGAAATCTCCTACCTAGAAAGGAAAAAGAGAATTAACAAGAGTTTTAGAGGTGTGTACATGATAAATTAGAAGTTCCACAATAAACAATGGCAGGCCAGGTATTTACTCGGCACAGCAAAACTTCGCGTGGAAATTTAGACTTGAATTGAAGTATCTCCCAGTTGAGAGTTCCTTCTTTGAGGCTAAACAACAATAGAAAAGGTTATTACTAGACATTTCAGGCAATTGTTATTATGTAGTCTTCTCTTCATATCATACACGCATTTCCCCATATAAAATTGCAAGGTTGGAAGATGCATATAACAATTGCAGGATTTGATTGAAAGAAAAATAGAACAAAAAGAAAATCATTCTAATAACTTAATGAGAATTTTGAGTTACCTTCCATTCTTTAATGTAGCATCAACACCCAATAAATTTGAAAACATAAGCCGCTTAACCAGCACAACAGATGAAGGCTTTCTGCACACTTGCATTTTCTGAAACGAAAAAAAAAACAAATTTAATTAGACTTGCAAACTAAGTCGTGAAAAGTAAAGCAAAGAAAGGATGTGTCTGACCTCCTTCCACCAGATAACATGGGCATAATCTTTATCTTCTAAGGAAACTTTCAATTGCTTTTGCCTTTTGGTAGCTTTTGTGTAGAACTTTCTCTCTTTGAAACAACAAACATGCTCAGACCCCCTGATACTTTTAGAGACGACGCATTACAAGTAAATTAGTCGACACAAGAAGTACGATTATCCAAAAATACCAACTGAAAAAAACAACCGAACAACTGAAATTAACCTCCCTGCATTTAGGAAATGAAAAGGAAACATAAAAAATCAATCCTAGAAGCACAATATAAAAGAAATCATGGAGTGCAGAAAGATGAAAATCATATTTAATTATTTTTAATATTAGAAAACATTCCAGTCCACAAATTAATACACAGCTCCTCTACTAACCTGCAGAAACTTAAACCTCACAATAACGCGCTATTTCAAAGACATAAACCCCACATTCCAAGACCCAAAAGGATGCAAAAAAAAAATGAAGAAACATACAAGACTGGATTTTTACACATACGAACAATAATATCAACACAAGGACTAAAGAGAGAGAGAGAGAGAGAGAAACAAAAATAATAAAATAAAGAGGTGCTTTAATTACAGTGGCGGAGGGGTGGACGGCGGGAGAGGGGTGAGGAGAGGGCGGAGGAGGAGGAAGGAGACGGAGCGCCACCGGGGAACAAGAACGACGGCGTTTCTGGTCGCAAGCCAGTGCATAGTTTCTCTGTCACTGCGAGTAAATGAGAGGGAATTCACAAAGGTAAATTTAGCAATGGAGGCGCTTCCCGCCAGAGTGCGCTCTGGCTCTGCGAAAAGAAGCGAAAAGAAGCTGAAAGGGCCGCCTATATAAATTAAAAATCACTTTTTGTTGCTCTCGTTGCGAGAGTGAAAGCGAGTCCTATGCGGACATAAATGAAAAGGGGTCAAAACTCGAACAGATTACCGTTACCGGAGTACACACTTTTGAGTTTTTGAGTCGAGATCGCTATTAGGTACCCGGAGTACCTACCTAACATCAGGTATCATCTTATATCATTATTTGATTAGATTAACTTAAAAATCAATATCAACAAAGGTACGAGAGACAAGTGAAATTCTTTTTGCCTCGTCCTAACCTCGTACCTCCATCTACTTGCAAAAAGTCTATAATGCCCTTATGTCATTAAAAAAGAAATAAATTATGAAATTATAATTGTATTTATTATGAAGGCCTTACATCTATATTATTTGTATAACAATCATTCATAATAAAAAAAAAAATACATGATCAAAAACCTTAACATTTATCAAAAGAAATTCCAATGACTTTGTTCTTCGATATTTTTTAATTTTTTTTTGTCTCGTCTCCGTCCTTTGTTCATCGTTGAATCGAAGAACATTACCAATCTACATATGTATATGTTCAAACGATTCGCAATGGTCAATCTGAGAATACCGATGTATGACGGCAAATCAAAGAATACCGATTCATTTGTTTGCAGAGATATTTCGAATCCAGGTTTATGACAAGAAAATATTGGAAAAACCGATTCATCCCCCAAATCGTGATGACCGTGAATACTCATTAGTCTCAAAATATATAACCACAATTACATGAAGAATATGGAAACTACCTAATCACAAGATCATAATTATCCCTAAAATATCTCCTCTAATAATATACAAGATATGAACATAAATATACAAGGTAACACCCCCCCTCAAGTTGGAGCATGCGGGTTTCGAATGCCCAACTTGCCAAGGAAGAAATCAAACTCGCGCTTGCCTAAGGCTTCGGTGAAAATGTCCGCTAGCTGGGAATGAGTAGAGACATGAGTAGCAGAAATGAGGCCTTGGACGAGAGCATCACGGAGAAAATGACAGTCAACCTAAATGTGTTTGGTGCGCTCATTGAATACGGGATTAGCGGCAATATGAAGAGCCGTCTGACTGTCGCAGTGAATCCGCATTGGATGGGAATGAGCGACACTAAGACTGCGTAGCAGACCCCGCAGTCATTTCAACTCACAAGTAAGGGTTGCCATAGCGCGATACTCAGCTTCGGCTGAGGAACGAGCAACAGTGTGTTGTTTCTTAGTACGCCACGATATCGGAGAGTGGCCAAGATGAACGAACCAACCGGTGGGGGACCGACGGGTAGTGGGACAAGACGCCCAGTCGGAGTCACACCAACCATAAATCTGCAAATCACAGTCAGAGCGAAGAAGAATACCTTGGTTTGGCGTACCCTTCAAGTATCGAACCACACGAATAACAGCATCCCAGTGTGCTTCACGAGGCTTATGCATAAATTGGGAGAGCATGTGCACAGCATACGACAAGTCTGGATGAGTCACAACTAAATAAATCAAACGGCCCACTAACCGACGATATCTCTCAGGGTCGGATAATAGAGGTCCATCGGCTGCTGGAAGCTGATGATTCTGCTCCATAGGAAAGTCGACTGGCTTGCCGCCAAGTAATCCTGTCTCGGCAACGATGTCAAGAGTGTATTTTCTCTGGCATAGGAAAATACCCGAGGTGTTTCGAGCAACTTCAATGCCCAAAAAATACTTCAGGACTCCCAAATCTTTCATATGAAAACAGCGACTCAGGTATTCTTTAAAAGCAGCAATAGCAGCAGGATCGCTCCCAGAATGATGAGATCATCAACATAAACCAAGACATGTAAATGCACAGAATCACAATGTAAAGTAAACAGAGAATAATCAGAATAAGACTGTGCAAAACCATATTGCTTAAGAGCAGTAGCAAGCTTGGCGAACCAACAACGAGGAGCTTGCTTCAAACCATACAAAGAATGCCGAGGAGAGTGAAAACCATGAGAAAGCTTCATATATACTTCCTCAGTCAAGTAAAAAGGCATTATGAACATCCATCTGATGGACCTCCCAGTGTCGAGCCGAAGCTACAGCCAAAAGAAGACGAACCGTGACCATCTTTACTAGAGGGGCAAAGGTCTCCTGATAGTCAATCCCTTCAACCTGCCTATTTCCCAAAACAACCAAGCGCGCTTTATAGCGCTCAATAGATCCATCAGAATGATACTTAACTTAAAAATCCACTTACATCCAATGGCATGTTTTCTGGAGGGAAGAGTGTTTATTGTGTTTTTGTCGTTATTTTCATGTGCTTTGTGTGCTTTATTATATAGTTTTAGGCTTGTTTTAGTGTCGACCGGTCCATTTTATCGTGTTTTGTGTATTTTTGTTATTGTATAGTGTTTTTGTATTTTTGCGCATTTTATCTTTTGTTTTGGTGTTGTTTAGGTCCACAATGTTCGAGTTCGGGAAGAGGAGCCATATCCGAGACATTTCCGAGCTGTCCGAACCATGTCCGAGCCATGCGAACCGTTTCTGAGCACATATATTAATTGCCCGGGAATATAGATTTGAGCATTCCAAGACGAAGAGAACGAGATTTAGAAAGCGTGGGTCAAAGTTTCAAGTCAATCAGATATGTGTGCAAGAAGTTAGGGCGAATCGATCATCAACGGGCCATGACCGGGACTAGACATGCACACATGCCCACACGCTCGTGCCCGCGAGCTCGTGGAAACTCCCGCGACGTCGAGAGTGTCATTCTCCCCAAGTCCGCGAGCTCGTGGAAACAAAAAGATTTTTTTATTAATTAATATTCTTTTTTTTTGTTAATTTTTTTATCCACATGTCTTTTCATTTTCTTTTTAAAGCTTTTTCTTTTTTTTTTTTGATTTTCTTAATATTTTTTTATCTTCTGATTTTGTAAATCATAAACAATTAAAGGACGAAAGTGCAACGAATGTAAAGTTAGTGGACTGATAGTGCAATTTTTCCGATCTGACTAGGCGCCACCTCGTGCCACATCACGCCGAGAATAGAATTCCGATCTGACTGGGCGGCACATCAGCTATTCCGGCGAAAATAAGCACTGGAATGTCATTTTGTACTAAAATTACCAAAAAAAAAAGTAAGTGTACCAATTGTACCAGAAACAATTAAAGGACGAAAGTGCAACGAGAGTATAGTTAGTGGACGAATAGTGCAATTTTTCCAAGAATCTTATTTTCTGGTTTTTTTTTATATATACTAATAAATGCACATAGATGATGAATATTTTTTATTGATTAAGTTTAGTGGAATAAAATAATTAATTTATTAAATATATCATTACAAAAACAAAATAAAATATAGAATAAATGAACTCCTAATATATTTTTTCAAAAACAACATAATTATGTCCATATATATATATATATATATAAATGAAATATCATATTACAATCAAACACAAATATATGAAAAATGAGCCCCCAATAGACAAACCCTAAATAACTAAATAAGGAGTTCTTTTATTTATTTATGTTCCATCATTCAACGGGGTAAAATACTACATTACTATCTCTCCATGTAGACAAATTGATACATGCTCTATTGAGGCATCGCCCAACTAGATTAGAATGAATTTTATCTCCAAATAAAAGTTGACATTGTAATATAATTTCATTAGTATAACAATTTCATTGTTATATAATAACTTTGTTATCAAAATAACTTATTTATAGGCTACAACTAATATATCACATAAGATAAAATATTATTTAATATTACTTATTTATTTATTAATAAAAACAATATATTTGATAAAAATGTACTTGTATATTGTTTATAAGATTAAATATTTTATGATTTTCTTCAATATTTGATAAAATATTAAGCAACTAACTCATTTTATGTCCATTAAAAATATATGTTACAACCATTATGGTATTCTCTTTCAAGAAGTAATTGAAGAATAATTTAACATAAAATTCATTTATTTCTCATTTTAATTCACACAGTTAATTTTGGTAATAGTTATAAGTTTACATCTATTTTTTACTCTTTTCTTAGTATGAATATTTCAAATCTGTTTATGAAAAATATACCACAGTTTTTGTACTTAATAAAATTTATTTACTATAGATTTATAATAAATTTATAAAATACCTTTAGGCCCATTTATTATTTTAAATGTATATAATTACATATATATATATATATATATATATATATATATATATATATATATATATAGAGTTGAGATCATGTGAGATGATAGATAGGGAAAGAAATAAGAATAAATCTGAACCATGTGATCAATCATATCAATGGTTATGATTAAGTCAAAATTTTTTAATATGGTCAAACATGTTGTGGCAATACAGTAAATAAATAAACATGTTGGGGTCAAACATATGCATTATACCATTAACTAAGGTCAAAATAGTCATTCTACACTATCCACTCATATTCCATCCTGTGGGTCCCACCCCTACCACGAACACACTCTTCTCTCTCCCAACACTACGCACACACCTGCACACACACACAAAAAAAAACACACACACACACACAGAAATATTCACAGCGCCACCACACCACCCACCTGCGGCCACCGTCTGCCGCCACCATCCGCCTCCCACAACAACGAGCCCCGCCCGCCGACGAAACTGGCAGTCGGCTCTTCTCCTCCGACGACCATCCACAACCGGAAGTTCTCCTCCCACCACCACTGCAAACGCTCCACACCGGCGCCACTGTCAGTGACCACCACCATCGCGCCTTAACAGACGGCCACCGCGCTTCATCTTTCTGGCGCCTTAACAGACGGCCACCGCGCTTCCTCTTTCCGTCGTGTCGTCCGACGTCCATGTCGCGTCGATGGTCCTGTGAAGATGGTTATGCGATGTCTCGCCGCTGTGCTCGACGTCGCCGGAATCTGAGGAGATCTAACAATTCCGAATGATAGTGGTGGCGGCGTTTTGGTGGTCGGCGGTGGTGGTGATGCGGCCTTGGACTGACGACCGCCGGTCCGTCGGAGGAGGTCGTCGCCGGCGGCAGAGTGGGGAGGGAGGTGGTTGGGAGAGTTGGCTTTGTTTTTGAGAATTTGATATGTTATAAGGATTCAATAGCAATTTCAAAAACTTTGGTAAATTACAATTGAGTTCAAGTGTCAAATATGTAAATAAATGAGATATGATTTTTATTTTATTGTTTAATATTTCAATATATTTAAGCTGAAATTAACTATTATTTTACTAAAAACTACTACTACTACTAATAATAATAATAAAAAAAAATACATAAAAATAAATAATATGTGGTGGTTCGGTTAATTCAGCTTTTGAAAAATTTCCGATAACTGAGCTTTTAAAAGTAAAAAAATAATAATAATAATCGAATCGGAATGTAAAATTTTGAACTAAAAATTATAATTTGATATTTTTGGTTCGATGTTGTTCAATCTAATGGTCATTATTGTGCAATTCGCCTAACGCTATTGTGCACTCATATAGCAAACATTTGTTTCAAAGCAATAAATCCTAAATAATTGAAATAATTTATTATTTGTGTTATAGTAAATATATTTAATAATTTATTTTTTATATTTAATATTATATATTATTTATGGTTGAAAATACATGACATATGAAACGTAAAATTAATTATTGTGCATTCAAATAGATACTGATGTGCATTTAGTCTAGTATCATTGTGCATATACTGACATTTTTTTTATGTGCAACTTCAGTTTTATAAAAGTCTAATGTGTATCTCAATTATGATTATTGAGCATTTATAGAATTTTTATAATATAAAAAATATATTTATTATTTTAATAAGTATATTTAATATTTTATATTAGTTTAAAGTTTTATATTTTATATTATTGTGCAGTCTAAACCGATAGACTTTTTTTTTTTACGTCACAAATCAAATTGAAGCTGAATTTGTTTATTCGGTCGGTTGACATAATTATTTAATTAATGAAAATAATTTATTACTTATATTATAAAATATATTTAGTATTTTAATAAATTTATATTATTTTTACATTTTTTTGTTAAAAATACATAATATATTAAATACAAAAATCCATAATGTGCATTCCCACTTACATTAACGTGCATTTAGTTTATTATTAGTGTGCAATTTGTATTTTTTTTTATGAATATCAATTATAGACAACTTTAATAATGCATATTTCAAGTAACATTAATGTGCAACTTGGAAGTCAATACTGTGCATCATGTTTAACACTACGGTGCATTATGTGGAGTGTTTTTTTATATGCAAAATGTAAATTAAAACCGAAACAAAAACTATCAATTCGATTGGGTAACCGTACTAACATAAATAGTCGAAATAACTTATTATTTATTTTATTAAAAAATATATAATATTTCAATATTTATCCATGAATATGCATTTTTTAAAATTTTTGTGATAAATTATATATTTGTCTATGAAATAAATTAAAAATCAATTA